AATGGATTAATTCAATTATTTTTTATTGAGGCAAAATAGACATATAACATTATATTTCTGGTATATAACATAATGCTTCGATATACTAGTTTGTGTAATTGCAAAGTGAACACTACAATAAGTCCAGTTAACATCCATCACCACACATAGTTACAATTTTTTTCTTGTGATAGGAACTTTTAAGATTTACTCTGTTAGCAACATGCAAATATACAATACAGAACCATTAAACATAGACATAATGCTGTACATTACATCCTCAAGACTTATTTCTTTTATAACTGGAAGTTTGTGCCTTTTGATTGCCTTCACCACTTTACTCATCCCCCCACTTAGGCAACCACCAATCTGTTCTTTGTATCCATGAATTCATTATTTTTTTTTTAATTCTCTATATAAGGTCATATGATATCTGTCTTTCTCTGACTTATTTTACTTAGTGTAATTTCCTCTAGTTTCATCCATGTTGTCATAAATGGCAGAATCTCCTTTTATATGGTTGAAATGTGTATATAATTTTTTTAATCCATTCATCCCTTGATGGACACTTAGGTTGTTCCTAGATTTTGTGTATTGTAAATAATGCTGCTATGAACAGGGGGTACAGATATTTTTTTTAATTAATGTTTTTGTTTCCTTCAGCTAACTACTCAGAATTGGAATTACTGGATCATATAGTAGTTCTATTTTTCATTTTTGAGGAACCATCATACTATTTTCCACAGTTACTAACACCAACTTACATTCCCACCAATAGTACACTAGGATTCTTTTTTCCTCTACATACTTATAAACCCTTATTTTTAAAAAAATATATTTTATTGATTTTCTACAGAGAGGAAGAGAGAGGGGTAGAGAGTTAGAAACATCGATGAGAGAGAATCATTGATCAGCTGCCTCTTGCACACACCCTCCTGGGGATGTGCCCACAATACATGCCCTTGACCGGAATCGAACCTGGGACCCTTCAGTCCTCAGGCCGACACTCTAGCCATTGAGCCAAACCAGTTTTGGCTCGTTTTGTTTTTTACTGTAGTCATTATATCATTGTAGTTTTGATTTGCATTTCCCTGATGATTAGTAATATTAATCACCTTTACATGTACCTATTGGTCATCTGTATGTCTTCTTTGAAAAATATATTTTATTGTCCTCCATCCATGTTTTTTACTTTTATTTTTTTCCATTAATGTTTTTTTAATGTTTATTTTTGTCCTCCATCCGTATTTTTTAATTTTTAAAAAGGATATGCTTATTTATTCATTGATGAGAGAGAGAGAGAGAGAGAGAGAGAGAGAGAGAGAGAGAGAAACATCAATGTGAGAGTAATATCAATCAGTTTCCTCCCATTACATGCCCAGAACAGTAATTAAACCCACAACCTAAGTATGTGCTTTGACCAGAATAGAACCTGGAATCTTTTTGGTGTATGGCATTATACTCCAACAAATTGAGCCATTTGGCCAGAGCTTCTCCCCATTTTAAATTGGATTTTTTATTTTATTTTATTTTTTGCTATTGAACTATATGAGTTCTTTATATATTTTGGATATTACTCCTTATCAGGTAGATGAGTTACAAATATCTTTTTCTATTCAGTAGGTTGGCTTTTGTCAATGTCTTCCTTTGCTATGCAGAAGCTTTTTAGTTTGCTGTAGTCCATTTGCTTATTTTTGCCTTTGTTGCCTTTGCTTTTAGTGTAAAAAAAAAAAAAAAAATCACTGCCATGACTAATGTCAAGGAGCTTTTCTCCTTCCAGTTTTATGTCTTGCATTTTAGTCTTTCCTCCATTCTGAGTTAATTTTTGTGTATGGTGTAAGAAGGTAGTTTAGTTTTATTCTTTTGCATGTAGCTGTTCAATGTTCTCAACACCATTTGTTAAAGAGACTCTATTTTCCTCCTTTTTTTTTTCTAATTTATCATATATTACTGATTGTATTGAAATGAGCTTATTTCCAAGCTCTATATTCTGTTTTATTGTTCTTTCTGTTTTTATGCTAATACCACATTGTTTTGATGACTGTAGGTTTATAATATAGTTTGAAATCAGGAACATGATACCTTGAGTTTTGTTCTTCTTTTTCATTATTACTTTGTCTATTCATGTTCCATACAAATTTTAGATTTATTTGATCTATTTCTGTGAAAATGCCATTGGAATGTTGATAGGGATTGCATTAAATTTGTATATTTCTTTGGGTAGTTTGAACATTTTAATAATATTAATTTTTCCAATCCATGAACACAGAGTAGCTTTCAATTTAATTGTCTTCTTCAATATTCTTTATCAATATGTTATAGTTACAGTTAATTTTATTATTGCCCTTTAAACTATATATGCATATACAAATTCTTAATATCTGCTATAGTGATCAAATTAAAACATACATTAAAAAATTGTCCTACTTCTGGCAAATAAAAAATAACTGAAATGGAGTTAAGTGGATATTGAACAATGACTATAACTCATTGCATGTCTATATGGTGTCAGACACATTCCACATATTTTGTAATTCTTGTAATATTCTAAAAGTACATGTTGTGGTCAAAATAGGTGTTAAGCCCAGATATGACTCAATAGTTGAGTATCAACCTATGAACCAGGACATCATGGTTTGATTTCCCAGTCAAGGCACATGCTTAGGTTTTGGATTCATTTCCCAGTAGGGGTCATACAAGAGGCTGCCAATCAATGATTCTCTCTCTTCATTGATTTTTTTCTCTCTCTCTCCTTCTCCTTCCCTTTCTGAAATCAATAAAACAAATTTTAACAAAGTCAGTGTTAATTATCAAAGAAAATTGGCATTCAGAGTTTATTTACCTAAAAGCACACAGTGTGACATTCAAAACTAAATTTACCCAGCTCATTTTCTCTTGAACCTAGTTCCATTCCACACTGCTCTATTTTGCTTAACTATACCCTGGTAGAAGTGGTAAATGGTGGAAGTAACTGGGGAGGAAACAGTATGTGTTCCATATAGTCCAGCTGCCAACTCCTACTCCATTACGGTGAGGTGAAACTTTATATTCTAGTGGAGACAGCTCAAGGCATGATCCCTTAGTCTCTCAGTCAGAGGCTTCATGAAGTCAGAGAGGATCCAAATGCTCAAGGTTCCAACCACTTGCAATGCAAAGCATTTATGAAAAGTAAACACATCAGATCTAAAATTTCTGTAAAATAAGCGCTTTAACCTTTCATTCATAGGGTCTCCTCGCTGCAATTAGTTTATATATGTGCAAAGGAAAGAGCAGAATGAGGCAAAGGGGAACAAATTATCAAAGGGAAATGACAAGGAGATTCATAAAAACTGGATGAAGAATGATCATCATAAGAATCGGATGCATTAATTTATCATGCTACCTATTTAACCTCTAATTTTTTCTTTCTGTCTTACAATGATAAGTAAGGTGAATTTATCTTGGCAATAATAACAATATGAATTTATAACTATAACATTTTCTGAGCACAGCTAAGGAATAAGTAAGAAGTCAGCTGGGCAGTTAAAAGATGACTTGAAGTTTACACCCTAAAGCTTACAAACTTAGGGGAAACAATTTAAACGACTTAGTTTCTTCTTCAGCTACTATTTGCATAGTCCTCTTTCTCCCTTCTGTTCTCTTTTTTCCCCTCTTCCCTGGAGCCCAGCTATTGAGTTACTATAATATATAGAAATCAGAATCCAATTTGACTCCTTGGGCTTAAGTTTAAACATTCTGTTTACTCAGGAGTGTGCAGCTTAAGGGCACAGACTCTGCAGCTCAGTTGAGTTGAACTCCAGGCTTACTCACTTAAATTGCTTGGTAACTGTAGGCAATTTTATCTAATTTCTCTGAGCTTCAATGTCCCCATGTAAAAGAAAAATAACAGTAATACCTACCTCATAGGATTGAGATGATTAAATGAATAAAATATGTATAATGCTATCTGGTACCTAGTAAGTCTCCAAGAAATATCAATTACTCTTATTATACTTTGTAGAGTCTGAAATGTAAATTTATATAAAGGATTCCTAATGGGGGCATGGCCAGCCTATAAACAGCCCTCAACCATGCCCCCCCACAGCAGTAACCCTCACCCCATTGAGGGCCAGCCTGCAAACAGCCATCAGCCCATTGCCCAGGCCTGCCCAGCCCCCAGTGGGGACCCTCACCTCAATGGGGGCATGGCCAGCCTGCAAACTGCTATAACCCCCCACCCAGGCTGCCCCCCCACAAGAGGACTCCCACCCTGATTTGAGACCCCCTTCAGGGCAGATCAGCCACCCAGACCTGTGCACCAGGCCTCTATCTATACTAATAAAAAGGTAGTATACTAATTAGATTGGGAGACCTTCCAGAAGACCTTCCTGGTGTCCTTCTGCACAAAGCCATGGTGGTGGGGCTGAGGCAGAGGTGGTTAGGGGCAATCAGGCCAGGAGGGGAGAGCAGTTGGGGGTGATCAGGTCAGTGGGGGGACAGTTGGGGCATGCAGGCTGGTAGAGGGTCCAGGTGGGGATGAGCAGGCTGGCAGGGGGAGGGGCAGTTGGGGGCAATCATGCTGGCAGGGGGGCAGTTGGGGGTGATCATGCTGGCAGGGGGCCATTGGGGTTGAGCAGGCTGGCAGGTAGAGTGGTTACGGGCAATCAGGCAGGCAAGTGGTTAGGAGCCAGTAGTCCCAGACTGTGAGGGGAATGTCCAGACTGCCGGTTTGGGCCCGATCCCTGTGATTGTGCCTAAACTGGCAGTTGTACATTTCCGGAAGGGTCACAGATTGGAGAAGGTGCAGGCTTAGCTAAGGGCCAACTCCTTCCCTCGTGCATAAATTTCTTGCACTAGACCACTAGTCTACATTAATAAAAGAGAAAGATGCAAATTGACCACACCTTTGCAATACCTACTAGCCAACAAAGATGCAGGGTTAATTAGCATACACTGGCGCCCAGCGGGCGGGGTGGGGTTGGGAGAACGCTTGTGTTATCTCCAGGATGATGACACAGGCATTTCTCACCACCTCAGCTGCTGGGCTCTGGGCAGCATGGAAAGGCAGGAAAGTGGCTCCAGGCCGGAGCAAAGGCTGTGCCGGCAGCCAGGGTAAGGAAGGCCCATTCTGCACAAATCTTCATGTTTTGGGCGTCTAGTAGTTAATAATACTCTATTGCCTATTTGAAAGTTGATAGGATCTTTAAAGTTCTCATCACAAGAAAATAAATTGTAATTATGTGTCATGACAGATGTTAGACTTATTGTGGTGATCATTTTTCAATATATATAAATATATTAAATCAATATGTTTTACACTTGAACTTATATCTATACTAATAAACAAGGTAATATGCTAATTAGACCAGAAGACCTTCCAGGAGGTCTTCCGGACATCTTTTGGACAAAACCATGGTGGCAGGGCCAAGGCAGAGGTTGTTAGGGACAATCAGGCCAGGAGGGGAGGCAGTTGGGGGGGGAGTCAGGTTAACGGGGGGGGGGGGGCAGTTGAGGGCGGGCAGGCTGGCAGGGGGGCAGTTAGGGGCAATCAAGCCAGAAGGAGGGGCGGTTGAGGGTGATCAGGCTAGTGGGAGGGGGGAATTGTGGGCTATTAGGCTGGCAGGGGGAAGTTGAGAGCAAGCAGGCTGGCAGAGGGGGCAGTTGTGGGCAATCAAGCTGGCAGGCAGAGTGGTTAGGGGTGATCAGGCCAGCAGGCAGGTGAGCAGTTAGGAGCTGGCAGTCCTAGATTGCAAGCGGGATGTCCTACTGCCAGTTTAGGCCCCATCCCACATGCCATCCAGGATGGATGCACAAATCCATGGTGGTGGGGCTGAGGCAGAGGCGGTTAGGGGCGATCAGGCCAGGAGCAGAGATGGGATTGGGCCTAAACTGACAGTTGGATATCCCCCAAGGGGTCCCAGATTGGAGAGAATGCAAGGTGGGCTAAGGGACACCCCCCAAATGCATGAATTTCATGCACTGGACCACTAATGTTAATATAATGTTAAATACTTTTATTATATTTTAATACAATATTTTAATAAAATGTTATATGCTAATTATACCTCAATTTAAAAAATTCCCTCAAAATCAAAAACTTTTATCTAGGACTAATCTTAATGATTATTCATTCTAATCACTTCATTTTATAGAAGGAAAACATTGAGCTTCAGGACCTCACCAAGGTAGCACAGCTATTGAGTGTAGGTCAAATGGACTATGGGTGGGTCCAGAGTGGGAACCAGAACCCAAGATTCTAACTAACAACCTACTGCATCCTCTGAAACGTGTTTCCATCTAATGAGAAAATGCCTGCTGCTCACTTAGAACTCAGTCCTGAACATTTTCCAGGAATGAAGGCCATAGACTCATTTGCCAGACACAATCCATGCCAGTCAAAATTTGCCTCACATTGGTCATTCAGCCTCTGAAGTTTAGAAAGAACATGTACCAGACCACATTCAGAATTTCTCCATTGAGAAGAAAAGGTCATAATACTGAGAATACATGTGTCTCTAAACCAAACTCTATAATCCATGAACACTGAATTAATTTCTGAAGACCTCAAAGGAGTCTTCAGTGTGGCTAAAACAAAGGATTAGGGAAGCTGGTATGGAGCTGGACCCAGAGTTCTTGGCTCATTAGAGGTATGCCATCAGCCTTTTAGCTGTATATCACTCACTCACAAGCAGGGCTGATTTGTTTGTTTTCCCTTTAGCTGACATATGCAAAGTGAACATTTTCTCAAAACAGTCCTGCTGTGAATTACCTAATACTGCAAAATCTAATAATTTGTGACCGAGAATCCTAAAACAATGGTTTTCTAATGTGACTTTACAGTAGCTGCTTTGTTAGTAATATTGTGTAATACATTATATGAATAACAAAAATAAACTTTACTCAAATTTTATTCTTGTGTTAATATAGAATACTCATAAGAAATAAAATATATCCTTCCCCTACATCCCTATCTCCTCTCTAAAACACTGAGTTAGCATAACTTATAAATAATGCTAACCTAGTGATATTTCTTTAAACTGGACATTTGAAAACAATACTAACACTTTTCCATAGCACATTTTGAATATATAAAATATATAAAATGACTGGTGTGTCTCTTATTTAGGTTGCAGGTTTAATCCCCACATGGGAGGCAATCAATCAATGTTTTCCTGTCACATTGATGTTTCTCTCTATCTCCCTTCCCCTCTCTCTAACATCAATAAAAAACATATACTCAGGTGATGATTAAACATGAACAAAAAACAAATAAAATAGCAGCAACAAGTTGGTATTCACAAATCCAAGTGAGCAAGAAACACTGCATTTATCTATTGTCTTTAAAGTATGCCCATTTCCTCTTCACTTCTTCACTGGTAGAAAATTCAGAACCATCATTCTTGGGTCTGCGGCCTCTGGGATGGAAGGCACAGGGTGCCAAGAAATTATATGACCCAAGCATTGGGAAGTTCCTCTAGTAACGGCATCAGTCCACACTGGGCACCAGCCTCCCTGGGCCACATTGACTCTTCCTGTCTGTACCACTCTGGTTCCTGTGCTATGCTGGGGTCTTAAGATGCTCTTGCAAGGCTGTAACCTGCAGGTGAATTACAGTAAAATGAATTTTTTAGTTTTGCCCCTTCCCAGAGGGAAATTTTCAGAGGGTAGGAAACTCTTCTTCTTAGGGGACCCATAGAAGTTTGTGTCTTTTCCAGATTTGAAGAAAACCCTTTCCTCCTAGCTTGCTATTGTCAAAGAAGGCACACTTCCTCTTTGCTTCCCTTTGGGGAGCCACAATTTCTGAGGCAAGTGAAATGAACAAACAAGGAAAACTACAGGGAAGAGAAGTACAATAAAGCATCAAATCATCCTTCTACAACAATATCATGTCTGTAAATTGGGTTTTCCTCTCTTAGAAAATTATTGAAAATTGCAGAGAAGAAATCAGTGGTAAAGCTGTTTTTGTTTGTTTGTTTGTTTTGTTTTGTTTTTTTTATAAATCTTTATTGTTCTCATTATTACAAATGTTCCTCATTTTCCCCCCTCCACCAGGTTCTTGCCCCACCCTTTGCCCTTTCTCCACCCCCCACTGTCCTCATCCATAGGTGCACTATGTTCAGTCTCTTCCTACACCCCCCACTTCCCTTTTCCCCGAGAATCATCAGTTCACTCCCCTTCCATACCTCTGGTTCTATTATATTCACCAGTTAATATTGTTCATCAGATTTTTTAATTTCCTTGGTTTTTAGATTCACTTGTTGGTAGTTACATATTTGTTGTTCATAATTTTTATCTTTATTTTCTTCCTCTTCCTAAAGAACCCCTTCAGCAATTCATATAATTCTGGTTTGGCGGTGATGAACTCCTTTAGCTTTCTTTTTTATTTGTGAAGCTCTTTATCTGGCCTTTGATTCTGAGTGATAGCTTTGCTGGGTAGAGTATTTTTGGCTGTAGGTTCTTGCTAGTCATCACCTTGAATATCTAATAATTTGTGTTTACCTATGCCACCATCTTGGTTTCTCCCAGTAAAGCTGTTTCATATTTTATATAGAAAACAAAAGTATAATATATATATATATATATATATATATATATATATATATATGCAGATTATAGATGAGCATGCATATATATACATATATACACACACACATATATATACACACATATAAGTACATATCATTTATACAAAACTATAAATTCAAGATAGATACATATTGTAGGTACATATGTGTATTTTCGTTATAGCATCATAAAAATCCCTACCAAAGTATTCAATTTTTTCTTTTAAAATTGATAACTTATAAATTTTGTTTTTATATATCTGTGCATTTATTTATTTACATTAAAATTTTTGTCAACATAACATTTGCCTTTGACAGAAATGTTGGCAAGCAACATTGTATGTCTCCCTCCATGAGGGAGGCATTGTACTAGGCTTAATGGAAGCCTGTAATGTGGCAGAATAGTTCTAACTAAGAACTAACAACTAACTAACTAGAAAAACTAACTAATGATAAATAATAATATTAATAATAATAATAATAATAATGTGAAACCTTGGTGGGCAGTAAAGGAAATTAAAAAGTTTGAAAAACAAACTGGGTTGAGTCAGGCAAATTTGATAGAGAAACCAGTAGAGTTACAATTTATCTATCAAAGAGCTTGAAGATTCCAGAAGATCCCAGAGAATAAGTCCTTGGAAACCCTGGGGTTTGTCTCAAAGCCTTTGACAGAGAATGTTTTATTAAATCTAATTCATCTCAGGGAAACTAAAGAAGGCTGATTCAGAGAAACCAAAGAACTACTGGAGCCTCTGGCAATCTGAGAAGTAAATTTCCCCTTGGAAAGGCTAAGAAACACTTAGAAGGAAAATACAACTTTGTAGTCAGTGCTTTGAGAAGAAGACATCAAAAAATTTAAGTCAAAATAGATAAAGAACCTTAAAGTCATAGCTGGAAGGAACCTGAGATTATCTGGTTTGGCTCTCTGACTTTACAGATGAGGAAACTGGGGTTCCAGGAGGGGAAGTGATGTAGTCAAGGCCACGTTGGTCACTAACATCGAGCCAGGACAGAACCTTTTGACTGCTTCAAAAAAAATGTTTTTAAGAAGGATTCCCTGGTTTTTGTTTTAAGGATTATTAAGTCATTTCTTTGGTTGAGAAAATAAACCACAAAATGCACTACTTATTCTAGTGACACACTTAAGGACTCATTTTCTGGAGGTTTATCTTATTTGTGAAGTAACAGCAAATAATGGTAATCAATCATTGCCTAGATTATCTAAGCGACTCTCAGGGGAAAGATGAAAAAAGCAAGCAGGATTGTGCTTAATTCATGTCCTACTCTTGAAACATTTCTCTGTTTTCTGGCATCTCTAATGTTGTCACATACATTTATCTTCTTTTGAAGGAATGTCAAGGCTTTTCCCTCGAGATTGATGATCTGGCCATGGCTGACTGGCTTAAAAGGTTGTGAGTTTGATTCCTAGTAAGGGCACATTCCTAGATTGTGAATTCAGTCAAGCAATCAGTATTTCTCACATCTACATTTCTCTCCCCCCCTTTCTAAAAACCAATAAACATATACTCAGGTGAGGATTAAATAATTTTTAAATTGGTTAATTTTCTGTAGAGAGATGTTATTAAACCATGTACTGAATTGCATTCCTGAATACTTTAAGTTCTACTTTAAGTAGATTCCCATTGTAAAATCCATTCTGGTTATTTCTTTGGGTTTTTCTTTGGTTTGTTTGTTTTGTTTTACTGACCTGCTGAATCTTTATATTGTCACTCAGCGTTCAGGTTTAATAATAAATGATCAGGCCCTGATATAAACTTTTATTTTCCACTGTGGATGTATACTTGACAATTAAATTATTGGAGAATTGCCATCAAGAAGGGCAAGTAATTAGGAATAATAAAATAGCAGGATTTCAGCATGAAAATATATACCCTAAAATATGGTATGCATTAAAATTCCCTGGTACATCATCTGTCAATTTGGTAGGTTTATTATTCATAAAATTTGTCTGCCCTTCATTAGTTAATAAAAGCTAAGAAGACGGTGGTATACTTTTCCACTAGTATAAGCAGTTATAATTTTCTGCATCTAAGAGATTTTTCTGGCTTTGCAGAAACAAGAAAGAATCAACCTCAAAACCTATTGAATCAAAGCAATACTAACAAATCTAGAATTATTTTTATATAAATTTTAAAACAGAAATCCTGAGAACATTGTTGGATCCCTCTAAACAACAGAGTTCTTTATATATCTTATTATGTTCTCACAGCAATTCACAGCATGTAGCTTTGAAGAAATAAAGGTTCTGAGGAGAAAAAAATTAGAAATTGGGACAAGCCTACTAGTTTAAATCACATGTAAAATAGCTAATCACCAACATTCCAAGGCATCTGAACAAAAGTTTTGCCCAGGGAACCATAATTCCCCTACTAACCATATAACCATGGACAAGCCAGCTGCTTCTTCTTTCTGCATTTTAATTTCTTCACTTGTGAGATGGGAATAATGAACGAATTTCTTTTATGGATTTTTGGAGTTAGATGAGTCCTAGAGTAGGATCACATGTGGGGAAAAGATCAATTAATGTAGGCCTGTGCCAGGATGGACCACTACCTTACTTTTTAACTTGTGGAACATGCCTTTTGGTCTTTTCAACATCTATATACCTCACAGGTGATCTTCAGCTAGCCCTTTCCTTCCTTACAGGCTCAGTTTCATTCTCTCTAAACTAATTGGTTGAGCATATTACTGGTTTCTCAAATGTCTAGTGGTGGTGAAATTAATTCAGTGTTTGTTACCTACATTTTTTATTTAAATTAAACTAAAAAGAATATAATAAAAAAATCAGAAAGACTCACATATACTAAGTATTGTTTTGTGATGCTTTTGTTTATATATATTTTTGCCAGAGACGAGATCAAAATTAAAAATTAATTTTTTACCACTCATGCTCAAACTTTGGAAGTCACAAGATTATATGGTACCCCAATTTTACTTTTCTTTTGACTGGTTTAATATTCTGTTAAAGACCAAAATTAATGAATATGAGAGGGCTCTGGAGATGGAACCAGGAGACTGGTGGGTCTGGGTTTTTCTTGCTGAATTAATTTCTCTGAGCCTCAGTCTTCTGTGTAAATTATTAATAAAAGTATTCATTGCTTACAGGCCTGTCACTGGAATATGTAAGGTAATATGTTAACTATGTGTTATTACAAAATATACATTTTATCATGATTATGATTATTCTGCAATTCTGAGCACAAAAGTATTTTGCCTTATGACACAGCTTCTTATATAATATGATTCCTTCACTCCATGCCTTTTCCTATGTCATCCACTTTGCCTGAAACTTTATCTCATTTTTATTCTCTTATTCAGCTGTTAAGATTTAATTCAGGCACTGTGCTCCACCAAAGCACCTTCTCTAAACTCCTGGTTTATAATTCTATGCCCCATACCATCCCAAATGACTATATCTCTTTTTACTTAGCACATTTAAAAAAATCAGTTAATGTGTCTGACATCCCCACTATACCATCACACTTTCCAACTTCTTTTTCACTATTTAATTTTTAAAACTTAACCAACTCTGCATGTCCTGGGACTCCATAAAATATTTGGTGAACTGAACTGCTTTCAGCTCCATTTCTTCCTGCTATTTCACTCTTGTTCTCCTAGACCAATTTTCAACATAGTCACTTGTTTATCATCTAGAGGCCCAGTGCACAAAATCTGTGCACAAGGGGCAAGAGGGTGGTGTCCCTCAGCCACACTTGCATGCTCTCCAATCTGGGATCCTCTCACAATCCAGGACTGCTGGCTCCTAGACGTTCATCTGCCTGCCTGCCTGATTTTCCCTAACCACTCCCCTCCCAGCCTGATTGAGGCCTAACTGATCCCCTGCCAGCCCAATTGTCCCTAACTGCTCTCCCCTGCCAGCCTGGTCTCCCCTAACTGCTCTCCCTTGCCAGCTTGGCCCCACAATTGCCCTCCCCTACAGGCCTTGTTCCTCCCAACTGCCCTCCACTGCTGGTCATCTTGTGGTGGCCATTGAGTCACATGGGGGTGACCATCTTGTGTGTTGGAGTGATGGTCAATTTTCATATTACCTCTTTATTATATAGGATATCTCTACTCCCATTTCTAGTTTATATATGGCATAAAAAATAACTAATTAAGTGGCAACAATTACCTCTTGGCCTTCTTTATCACAGCATCTCCAAGGAAGGCTAGTATAAAAGTATATTCAGAAAGGAGGAGAGGTGACTGTGGAGGAAACAGAATGGCCAGATGAAAAAGGAGGTGATGACAAGTTATTCTCACATTGTGACATTTAACTGGGAGACTGTAAATGAATATGCAGTGGTGGAAAGTCAGGGGAAAAACTCTAGTGATTAGAAGTAGGACAGTCTGATTTTTCACTCTGTGCCTTTTCCTCACTATCCCATTGCTCCATGGGGAGAAAGGGTACAGGACTCACTGTGGCTCCCTAATTAAGTTGTATCCACTGCACACAGGGAAAGGGAGGCCCTTGCAGCCTGCTGGTCCTCAATCATTACTCAGCCATTCTGACCCAAAAACTGTTGATTCCCAACCCAACATATAAGTAATTCACAAAGCAATTTCAAGTGGGGGAGGAGACATGATAGTGCAACATAGAAATCAATAAACCTGGGCATGAAGACAAAAGCTTTTGCAAACTCTGAGTCTGATCAAATGATTACATCACTCTGGCTGTTGAAAATTCTCTCTTGTCATTGCCAAATTGCTGGGTTGATTTATCAGGAAAAAGGGTAACAGTCATTTTCTCACCTCTATTAGATAATTCATATGAGTAAACAAGTTACAAAACATCTGGTTTATTTCCCTTGCATTTATTTATTTATTTATTCATGCATGGAGTTTTGTTCCAGGGGTAACTCCAGCATGTAATAGAGTTCTAATAAATTAAAAATAGCTACTTTTAAGATTTTGACAAGTTATTTTCCTGCTGGGATTTAGTCAAGACTTTTCTGTCTCTCACAGAAGGTCATGAGGGCAGAATTCCTAGGTGCCTAGCAAGGGAGAAAAATTGGAAAACAAGTACCTTGCATTTACTTAAGAAGATGTGAGAATTAATGAGATCATGTTTATAAAACACTCCACACAAGGCCTATCACATAGTGCAAACCTAGATTTCTATGCCAGATAAGATTCTTCCAATCTGCCTCCATGTCACCTCCTCTAGGAACACTTTACAGATTTCCCAGGAACAACTAATCATTTTTTCCTCTCTGGAAGTTTGTTAATTATTCTAAAATACACCTCCAATCTGCTGTATATGGATGTTGTTTAACAGGCTTCTCTTGAGGTGTTTGATGACCACTGTTGTGGTGCCTGCCAAAACACTTCAGGATAATCTGGTAAAGCACTGGGATACATTAGGTGGTAAGTGCCATGGTGAGGGCAGGGACCATGTGTGTTTTGCTCAATACCATACTGTACCCTATATTCTAGAACAAGGTATGATACATTGAAAGAGCACAATAAATAGTTGCTGTTTAAACAAACAAATTATTTAATCCTACCTAATAAAGAGGGAATATGCAAATTGACCATCACACCATCCCAAATATGGCAGCACCTATAGACAGAAGATGGCAGTGCCCAGTCCACTCTGCCCCACCAGAGTCCCACAGTCCTTTTAACCCAGCTGTGGGGGTTATCAGGTGCAGCCAGACCCACCCTCAGCCCCCCAGATACCTAGGGCTGGCCTGAGGCACAGGTAAGCCTCAGATAGTAGCTGCCCAGCCTCCCAAGGCCACTTGAGGCTCAGGTAACCAGGGCCAGCCAAGGCTTGTGATTCCAGCAGTGACAGCATAAGAGGTATGATGGGGGCATTGCCTTCCCCTGATTACTGGGTCACCTCCTACCTCTGAGGGCTTCTAGACACTGTGAGAGGGGGAAGTCCTGGCTGAGAGACCCTCCCCCCCTCCATCCAGTGCATGAATTTTCATTCACTGGACCTCTATTTATACAAATGAAAAGCAAGTTCAGAATCACCAATAAGCACTGAAATAAGAGTCTCAAACTTCAGTGTGATTAGCAATCATCTGGAAAGCCTATTAAAAAGAAATATCCTGGATTTATTGTTGGAGAATGAGTCAGTAACTGTGGAGGGTGGTCTGGACCACTTTTGAAATGATTTTTAGCAGGATACATTTTTAACATGACCATAGGTGACTTCAGTGAAAGCAATCATTGATACACACTTTGAAAACTAGTACAGTATAGCATCCCAACAGAGGTTCAGTGGCTGAAATTAAGTATAAACAAAACTTTGGTATATGGCTTGGCTGTGGAAT